TTTGCAGGAGGAAGGGTAAGGTTTTAGCTCTGAGCTCTGACCTCTTGGCTTTCTCTTTTACATTGGTTCTGTGTTTCTTATTTAATAAGACGGTTGGTTACATCTACATTTGGCGCCAGACCAAAGCACGGCAGAAAACCAGCTGGGTAGACTGCAAATTCTGCATCTCCACGTCTGATGTCAAAGTGCTCCTCAGATCTACGGCTCCTTTCGGCTCAGAGCTAAAACCTTACCCTTCCTCCTGCGGTGGTCCTACCTCTCCGAAAGAGACCTACTTCTGGTGTGTTTGTCTTGATATAGTCTTTCTGTTCTGCCTTCTCATTGGTTGTAAACCCAAACACATGACTGCCTCGTCACTGCCTGTAAGTACTGCCTTCCATGTCTTAAAGGCGTATGTCTCCAATGCTGGCTGTATCCCTGAACACACAGAGATCTACCTAGCTCTTCTACCAAGTGCTGGGATTAAAGGTGTGCGCCACCACCGCCATGCTCTTTCTATGGCTTTAATAGCTCAGACCCCCAGAGAACTTTATTTATTAACGTACAATTAAAATCACATTTCAGTACAAATAAAATACCACCATACTGGTGTTTCCTCACTGTGCTTCCTTTCCTCCATTTTGGACACATTTGGTAATGTGTATCCTGTGCCATGTATGTTGGAAGGATGTGATCTGCTTTTTGACTTTGATTTTGCAGGGCTTACAGTTAAAAGATTGCTGAGAGTCTCAGAAGAGACTTGAACTCCAGATGTTTGTACAGGGTTGAGACTATGTGGACTTTTGAAGTTGGACTGAATGCATTTTTGAATTATGATGTGGCTACAAGCTTATGAGGACCAAGGAGTGGAACGTGGTGGTTTGAATAGAAATGGCCCCCATAGGCTCATATATTTGAATGCTTAGTCATCAGGGAGGGGCACTATTTTAAAACAATTAGGAGGTGTGGCCTAGTTGGAGAAAGTGTGTCACTGAGGGTCAGCTTTGAGGTTTCAAAAGTCAATGCCAGGCCCAGTCAATCTCCCTCTCTCCCCCCTCCTCCCTCTCCCTCTGCCCCCTACCTCCATCACTGGATCAGGATATAGCTCTCAGCTACTTCTCGGGTGCCATGAGTGCCACCATGTGTTAATCCCACTCAATGAGAGTTAAGACAATTACCCAAATTCTTTGGTCAGTTTATACAGGCTTTATTTTCAGTCAGACAAGGCTATCTCCCTAAGGCAGAATTTGAGAAAATAGTATCAGACACAGGAGAAGGTAGGCTTTATATTAGCCCCCAACTGCAAGGCTGGGACGTTTTCAAGGTGTTTTTTTGTTTGTTTGTTTGTTTGTTTGTTTTTTTGGGGTTTTTTTTTGTTACATAGAAACTTAGCAGAACATTTCAAAGTTACTTGGCAGAACATCTCAGGGTGGAGGTTAGGATAGAGGGAGTGGACCATGTTCCAGAAAATGGGTCAAGATATGGGCAAAACCAATTTTACAGAAATGAACTTATCTGACTTTGTAACGAGATGGCTTCTAATCTTAAAATGGAGTCAGGCTGGTGCATCACAGGCTCCCTGCCATGTTGACAATAGACTAAACCTCCAAAGCTATAAGCAACTTCTTTTATAAGAGTTGCCTTTATCATTGTGTCTCTTCATAGCAATAGAACAATGACTAAGACAAGCAAAAGAAAAAACAAGATTGGCCAGGCGGTGGTGGCGCACGCCTTTAATCCCAGCACTCAGGAGGCAGAGTCAGGCAGATCTTTGTGAGTTCGAGGCCAGCCTGGTCTCCAAAGTGAGATCCATGAAAGGCACAAAGCTACACAGAGAAAACCTGTCTTGAAAAACAAAACAAAAAGAAAAGAAAAGAAGAGGAAAAACAAGAGTCATTCACCCATTTATTCAATAAGAAATTGTGTGTGTGTGGGGGGGGTGTATATGCTTGTGCACCCAAATGTACATGCTCATGTAAGTGTGCCTGCATGTGAGCAGAGGCCCAAAGTTCACACTGCATGCCTTCCTCTCTCATTCTCTACCTTAGTTTTTGAGACAGGCTCTCTTACTAAATCCGCAATAGCCAATTCAGCTAGATTTGCTGGTCATTGAGATCCAGGGATCCTCCTGTTTCTGTCCCCCAAGTTTAGAATTATAGATGTACAGCCTTATGCCCTGTTAAAAACCTGGTTCTGAGGCTCCAAACTCAGATCCTCATGTCTGCACAACAAAGGCTACCCACTTAGCCATTTCCTCAATCCCTCAAGCATTTCTTTTTTTAAAAAAAAATATTTTTTATTTTATTTTATGAGTATTGATTTTGTCTGCATGTGTATGTCTGTATGAGGGTATTAGATCCTTTGGATTTGGAGTTACAGACAATTCATTTGGAATTGGAGTTACAGACAGTTGCAGGCTGCCACGTGGATGCAGGGAATTGAACCCTGGTCCTCTGGAAAAGCAGCCAGTGCTCTTAACCACTGAGCCATCTCTCCAGCTCCATCCTCAGCATTTCTTTAGCAAGCAGATTCTGTGACTAAATTGCTGAGCAAAACCAAACATGGTCTCTAGCCCCGTATCTATCATCATCAACCGGAAGACAGACAATGCCACCAGGAGCAACTACAAAACATCACTCAAAAGCAGAGGGTATCATTTAGTGGGTAGAGTATTCGCCTGTGTACACAAAACCCCGGGTCTAATCCTTCGCACCACATACAACTAGTGTGGTAATCCCAATACTAAGAAGGTTGGAAGCGAGAGGACCAGAAGGTCAAGGTAATCCTATGCTACATGGGGATTTCCAGGCTGGCCTGGGCTATATAAAAGCCTATCTCCAAAGCAAGAATCAACCAATGAACAAATCACATAAACATATGAAGCTGAGAATGAGCTACAGAGTGCTGTGACAGACCGTGATGGCACCACTGGCTTGACCAGGGACATTGTTTTCTCCAAGGATGTGGTGGTGTGGTTAAGAGCTGAAACATACGTCTGAGTTAACAAAACAGGAAGGCTTATTCAAGTGACAGGAGTAGCAGGTGCAGGGGCCCTGGTGCCAATGGGTTTGGGCTGAAGATCCAGTGAAGACTAATGCAGCAGAAAGAAAACGCGCGGTACCCCAGGAAGTGGTGGGGATAAGCACCTGCCTACTGCCTAAAGCCTTGAGGACTCTGCCTGAGAGTCCGCTTACCCTAGACCGTGCTTGCCACCTGTCCTGTGATTGACAGATACAATCAGCATCACCTGCTTGCCTGCTCTTTGCCTTCCATTTGGGTTCAGCCAGTGGGAAGTTGTGTTGGGAGCCTGGAGGGCAGGAAACTTGCCAGGTCACTGAGGGTTGGCTGCCTGGCCTGCCAGAGGCCAACACTGCTGGCAAACAGTCCTCTCCATGTAGCTGCTGCTGTGGTTCCAATCTGGAATCCCATCCAGTGCTCCGATACGGATGGCTCTGTCTCCAACCTGTAACTGTTGGGAGGTTTGGAGCTTTTTCAAGATGAGGCCAGGTGGAAGGCAGTTAAGGGATGTGCCTTTAAGGGGGACAATGGGACTCCAGTCCCTTCTTGTCTTTTTCTCTGTTTCCCAGTGGCTTTGAGGTAAACAGAATGCTTGTGTCATAACATCCTAAGGCATCACATGTCCTAAGTAACAGGTCCAAGAAGCCACCAGCAAAAATCTCTAAAACTGCAAACCAAAGAGTCTTTCCTTCTTACAAAGCCCTTCTCTGAGGCAGCTGACACCTAGGTTTGGTTCCTAGCACCCACAGGAAGCTCACAATTGTCTGTCATTCCAGCTCCTAGGGATCCAGCACTTTCTTCTGACCTCCACAGACACCAGACACGCACATGAACTATTAAAGAAAGGGTAGTTCTGAGCTGGGCCATGGTGACTCAGGTCTTTAGTCCCAGCACTCAGAGGCAGAGGAAGGTGGATTTTTTTTTTTTAATGCCGAATGTCATTTATTGAAAGAGGGAGGAGGTTTTAAATACAGGCTACAGCACAATGGGAGAACCCTGGAGGGCAGAAGTTCGCTACAGATGTTTTACAATCTTGCATCTAAGCTGTTAACGCCCATTATGCAGGATACATAGGATACATAGACAAGGATCTTCCCTTAAGCATTCAGGAGGGTGAAACCCGGGAGGGAATTAGCATAGAGAGGATATCAAGGTCAGCAAGCAAGGCAACAGTTACCCAAAACAGGAGGGGGGCGGCGGCAGGGCCCTATAGGTCCCCCTTTTACTAATAAATGAGCTTCTGACTTAGGTTGCATGGGACATCAGCAGGTCAGGAAGGTGGATTTTTGAGTTGGAGGTCAGCCTGGTCTACAGAGTGAGTGCTAGGACTACACAGAAAAACTCTGTCTCAAAAAAACAAAAAGGGAGCTCTGTGTGTCTAACATGGAGAGGTCTCTAAGAACATGATTATTTTGGTTTTGTATGGTTCATTTTGGGACTTTGTGTTTAGGTGAGCTTTGCTTGGTTTTTGTTTAGTGAGATTAAGTTGTACTCTGTAGCAGGCTAGCCTGGAATTCACTATGTATCCCAGGTTGGCCTCAAACCCATAGAGATCCTCCTGCCTGGGCCTCCCAAGTGCTAGGATATTAGGTGGAAGCCACTATACTTGGAAGTATATACTTTTTAAAAAAATATGCATGTGTGTGTGTGTGTGTGTGTGTGTGTGTGTGTGTGTGCACATATATGGGTGTGTGCAGAAGTTAGAAAAGGACACCAGGTCCCTTGGAGTTAAAGTTACAGGAAATTGTGAGCTACCTGATGTGGGTGGTGGGAACTGAACCTGTGTCCTTCAGTAATCACTCTAAACTGCAGAGCCACTTCTCAAGCCCCGCCCCCTGCAAGCAAACAAACACACACACACACACACACACACACACACACACACACACACACACACGTTATTGTTATATAAAACACACACATATATAAAACAGACACACACACACACATATATAAAACACACACACATATATATAATACACTATATATATATGTATGTATACGGAAGGGCGAGGATGACGTTCTTCACTACCACAAATGATGTAGTCAACTTTTTCTGCATTTGGAGAACTTGTAGGTCAGTATACCCAAGTACAATGGAGGAACATTGGCCTGGGAAACCATCTTGTGATCAAGTCGTCTCGCCACCAGGTGAGTATTCCAAGATATACGTTAAACTTCAATGGTGTAGCACAACTTACGTAAGTGCTAGCATGCATGTCTTTTGTTTAGAAAAGGCTATCATGTTTTTTTCGTCTGTAACAGTCTTACTATGTAGCTCAGCTAGCCTCAAAGCCCTAGTTCTTGAATCTCTACATCCCGGGTGCCTGGATTACTGGAGTTTACCACCCACCCATGCAGACAGGCTATCTTTTTTTTTTTTAACTTTTTTGAAATACTTAAATTTCCTTACTACATCTGTAATCATACAACTTTAATTTTTATTAACAGATTTTTTTTAAATTTGGTTCTTTTCTTTTTTTTTTTCTTCTTGGTTGTTTGTTTTTTTCAAGGCAGGGTTTCACTGTGTAGCCCTGGTTGTCCTGGATCTTGCTCTGTAGACCCAGCTGGCCTTGAACTCACAGAGATCCATCTGCCTCTGCCTCCTGAGTGCTAGCTAGGATTGAAAGCATACCTTACCATCATTTGGCATTTTCTTTTTTTTTTCTCTCTTAAATTTTATTTTATTTTATGTGTATGGGTATTTCACCTGCATGCACATAAATGCATCATGTGCATAACTAATGCCATGGGTCCCCTGGAACTGGAGTTATAGACAACTGTGAGCTGCCATGTGGGTGCTGGGAATTGAACCTGGGTCCTCTAAAAGAACAGCCAGTGCTCTTAACCACTGAGCCATTTCTCCAGTCCTTATTATCATTTTTTTTATTAAAACAGGACTATTTTCTTTGTTGTTATTTTGTTTTGCTTTGCTCTGAGTATCTGTGTGTGTCTCTGTGTGTGTCTGTGTGTCTGTGTGTGTCTGTGTGTCCTGACAATATCTAGGACCAACATCCTAGGAAAATGGTCTACCACTGAGCCCCTGCACTGCTTTGCTTTTTTTTAAAAAAATAGTCTTTTTTTGTGTGCATGTGCATGTTCGTGTGTGTGTGTGTGTGTGTGTGTGTGTGTGTGTGTGTGTATGTTCGTGGGTGAAAAGGGTGTGCCAGGCACGCAGTACAACCTCAGGTGTTGGTCCTTGCATTCCACCTTGTTTGAGACACTGGCTTTGGTGTTCACCAATGCTTACACCAGACTTAGCCAGCCCCAGAGCTTCCAGGGAGAGTCTGAGAGTCTCCTAGCTCCACTTGCCATCAGATTATATGCACATGTGATGCCATGCTTGGCTTTCCACAGGTTCTAGGGATTTTTTGTTTGTTTGTTTGTTTGTTTTTCGAGACAGGGTTTCTCTGTGTAGCTTTGCGCCTTTCCTGGAACTCACTTGGTAGTCTAGGTTGGCCTCGAACTCACAGAGATCCGCCTGTCTCTGCCTCTGGAGTGCTGGAATTAATGGCATGCGCCACCACCGCCCAGCTAGGTTCTAGAGATTTTAACTCATATTTGTTAACACAAATTGCTAAACAGTCTTATTATTAATAATAATAATAATAATAATAATAAGAAGAAGAAGAAGAAGAATAAACTTGGAGCCAGAAATTGGGATGAAAGCTGAAAGATCAGAGAAGAAGCCACAGCCAACCTCATCTCGCCAACTCCTCAGCCAATCCTGTTTCCCCAGACTGGAAGCCTCTGAGCCCTCACCTGAGGGTCTCAGTTGAACTGCTGCTTAGTTCCTGTCTCCTCATGCCTTATAGACCATTCTTCATGTCAGTTCCTGGGATTAAAGGCCTGTGTGCTTTCCAAGCAAAGACATGAGATCCCGCAAATTCTGGATTTAAGGGTGTGTGCCACCACTGCCTAGCTCTGTTCTCAGTGTGGCCTTGAACTCACAGAGATCCAGATGGCCATCTCCCCCAACCCCAATGTGTGGTTTTATTTTACTTTTAGTGGCCTCTGACTGTCCTGGAGCTCACTATACAGCCCAGCCTAGCTTCAGACTCAGGCATCCACCTGCCTCTGCACCCTGGATGTTAGGACTAAAGGAATACACCATCACATCTAGAACTATTTCAGTTTAGTTTAGGTTTTTTTTTTCATCTTGTCATATTTATTTATTGTGTGTGCATGTATGTGTTTATGAGAAGTGGTGCACGCGCCATGGCATGTATGTGGAGGTCAGAGGTTGGTTCTCTCCTATCATGTGAGACCTAGGGGTTGAGCTCACATGGTCAGGCTTGGCATCAGGGACCTTGACTATCTATCAGAGTCTCACTATGTAGCACTAGCTGCCTGTAACTTACTATATAGCCCAGGCTGGCCTCAGACCCATGATAGTCCTCCTGCCTTAACCCCCTTAATGCTAGGATTAAAGGCATAGTCTATTTAAGGCCTGTCTTACCCAGGATACCCCAATAAATAGCACCTAAAGCAAAGGCTGCTTGCTTCTACTAGGGAGTGAAGTCCAAGAGAACTGGGGTAGAAACCGGGCCGATGTTCCTACGGACCACTTCAGCCCCACACACCAGCCCTTGCAAAGCCTCCTTACCGACAGACAGTTCAGGATAATCCTTTAACAGAACAAAGAAAAGAAATTATTCACTTACTCTTGTTCATCACCATTCAAAATCTGTCCCAGGAAACATTAACTGCCCCACCCTCAGACCTGGCACGGGCTGGTGCTGGAGGATTACTTAAGAGCATAGACAAAGCCAGGAACCCCAAGAGCCAAGGTGAGGCTGGGAGGGCAAAAAGCTGCACTCGCCCAGGCTGCAGTCTGCGTGTGAAAATTTATTCAGGAGGCCAACAGCCAAGGTGTCGGCATGGTTGGCACCTTCAGGGGGGTAGGAACAGGCTTCATGGGAGCTTACCTGTTCTGGCAGCTGTGGACAATCGGCTCTTCCACAGCTAGCAACCCCACCATCCCAGTGCAGACAGATTTCTAAATGGTCTTATTAAATAAAAAAACACAGAGCCCAATATAGGGGTGAAAGCCTTAGAGATGAGGGTCATAGGCAAAGCCACCAGCCAACCTTACCTCACCAACTCTGCAGCTTCCCAATGCACCTGACTTCCTGTCTACCCAGGCTTTATATGCCTTGCTTTTCTGTCCTCTCATTGGCTATCTTAGCCCAGCTATCTCACTTCCTCTTCCTACACAGCTCTGTCACTTTCTGTCTGTCTGTACAGACCTCCAGGTCTCTATGGTTGGTATTGGGATTAAAGGCATGTGTCACCACGCTTGGCTCTGTTCCCTAGTGTGGCCTTGAACACACAGAGACCCTGTCTGCTAAGTGATAGGATTAAGAGTGTGTGCTGCCTGACTTCTTTGTTTACTTAAAATGGTGCCCCCCCCCCATTTCCAGGCAAGCTTTATTAACGCACAAATAAAGTATCATCACATTTCAGTACAAATAAAATATCAGTACATCCCAGTCTCTTTTTCTATAGTCACATGGCCTTTTCCATGGCCATCAAATCTGCTTGTGTGTATTTTTCCTCCTCCTTTGCACCTGGCCCAGCTTATTCCAATATGGCCTCATGTTTTTTTGGTTTGGTTTCTTGTGTGTGTGTGTGTGTGTGTGTGTGTGTGTGTGTGTGTGTGTGTGTGTATAAAGGGGTCTGCCACTGACCTGAATCTCACTAAGCAGACTAGGCTGGCAAGCCAGTGAGCCCCAGGGATCCATGTATCTTGAATCGGTCTCTGCCCCACCCAGTGCTGGGATTACAGCCTGCACCAACTACAACCTGCTTTTGCTTTGTTTTAACATGAGATGTTGGGGACTCAACTTGGGTCCTTATGCCTACAGGGTAAGCACTTTCATGACTGCTAACCTCCTCACTGCCTTTGTTTATTTTTCAAGACAGGGTCTAATGTAGACCAAGGTGGCTTAGAACTACGTAGCCAAGGATGACAAATTTGACAAATTATTTGGGATAGTCATCACAGCCATCGCTCAATTTAATTTATTTTATTTTATGTTCATTAGTGTTTTGCCTGCATGTATGTCTGTGTGAACATGTCAGAAGTCCTGGGACTAGAGTTACAGACAGGTGTGAACTGCTACATGGGTGCTGGGAATTGAACCCCAGGTCCTCTGGAAGAGCAGCCAGTGCTCTTAACCGCTGAGCCATCTCTCCAGCCCTGGGATAAAGTCTGGTGCAGTTCAGGACAATCTTGAACTCCTAATCCACCTGCCTCTGCCTCCTCAGTGTCATCTGCCTCTGCATCTTTATGTCACCCTGCTCCACCTAGTTTTTATATGTTTATATTTTTAATCATAAGCCATTTTAGTTTAAAACAAAATAGAAAGAATGTTGCCAGAAACACTGTGGTAGGTTGAATGTAATTGGCTCCCATTAGCTCAGGGGGCGGCACTATTAGAAGGCGTGGCTTTATTGGAGTGGGTGTGGCCTTGTGGAGGAAGGACGTCACTTTGGGGGTAGGCTTTGAGGTCTCCTGTGCTCAAGCTATGCCCAGTGTCAGTTGACTTCTGCTGCCTGAGGATCAAGATGTAGAACTCTCAGCCCCTTCTCCAGCACCAGTCTGCCTGCAGGCCGCCATGTCCCACCATTATGATAATGGACTAAACCTCTGAACTATAAGCGACCTCAATTAAATGTTTTCTTTTTAAGAATTGCTGTCTCGAAAACAAACAAACAAAAAACAAAACAAAAAAGAGTTGCTGTGATCATGGTGCCTCTTCACAGCAATAGAAACCCTAAGACAAATGCCGACCTCCCCCAAAGGAAACTGTTAGTGGATGTGAGACTGGATCAGTGGTTTTATTACCTGTGGCCCCACATACTGGTGACATGGGTAGCCTTGGCTCATTTAAGTGGACACAGTACCCTCATTTCCTGTCATTACATGAATGACTTCTATTGTGAAGGATCAATGGATGCACTAGTTTCTTACAGAAACATCTGCTACATTTCCCCCCAGTGTTTTGAAATAAGGTCTTTTGTGGCCCAAGCTCACTGTAAGTAAGCTCTGTATGTAGTTTAGGATGGCCTTGAACTACTGACTCTCCTGCTTCTTTCTACCTCCCAAATGCTGGAATTTCAAGCATGAGCCATCACCACCGCACCTAGCTGTGCC